GTATAAATTCTTAGCAAAATTAACTCTCTGGTCTTCGTTTGCAGCCAGCATTCCTGTTGGCCAAGCGTGCAGCTGCTGATACAACAAGCATTTTTATTCAGGGCTCATCTGTCCATCTGGCCAGCAGCACGCACCTTGTACAACAGGTGCGAGACGAGCGAGAGCCATTGGAAGACTAGAAGCTTCCTCCTTTCCTCTTAAAGTGAAAACAAGCCGTAGAAGCAAGGAGATCACTTGGGTGTGACTTTCCTCTTTACTGTGAAATTAAGAAAAACTAAAACTAAACCAAGAACAACAACAACAAAAAACCCTTCCATAACAGAACTACTAGTGCCGATGCATAAAACTGACCCACCTCCTCAAAAGCTCTTTCTCCTTTGAACGCAAAGCTAAGCTTTCATGGGAAAATCAGACCCCCCCCCCCAGTGACATTTGGTTGTGTTTCTGAGCAGAGTCCCTTTGAGGGGGTTGGGAAGCGCCCTCTCCCCTTGCCACCTGGAACTCAATGCCAGTTCCGCTCTGATAGCTGGTTAGCCTGTAGGGTCCTCACAAGTTAAATCTTGTCTCAGGAAATAATTTGCTTGAAGATCAAAGCGTGGATGGGATAGATTAATTTTTCAACAAACCAAAGGTCTGGGAGAATGTAAACACTGTCTCTTAAATGCTGCTCAGCTCCTGATGAACGAGTCATTTGAGGGGACTCTTTTTTTCTTTTAAGATGAAAATTCTGCATGTGGTTGATTTACATCTGAGTATGTAGAACAAGAACTCTGGGAAACTGGTACCTCAGCAAGGAAGATAAGGCCCCAAAATGACCAGTTATTACTATGTATTTTGACACCTCCTTTAGATAAGTGCTTCTCAAGGGGCTTTGGTGGTTGTGGGGGAGGGTGGTGACTTTGCCCCTTCGGGGGGCATTTGGCAATGTCTGGAGATATTTTTGATTGTCACGATTCAGGGGAGGGGTGCTCCCAGCATCGGGTGGCTTGAGGCCAGGGATGCTGCTGAACGCCCTATGTGCACGGGGCAGCCCCCACAACCGATGGTTATCCAGCCAAAAACGTCAGTAGTGCCAAGGCTGAGAAACCTGTGGAAGGACGGGCTTCTCTTTTCTACTTATTCAGCTGTGGTTTTAACAGATGTGATTTCTCTGAGGGGCTGCTTCTTTATTTCCTCATAGCATCTTGCCCTTAGTGGGCTTGGTGCCCGCCATCTTTGTTAAGATCTTTGTCTTCTTTGGTCTCGGAGCAGAGCTCTCGGGGTGGGGGTGGGGGTTGGGGCAGCATGGACAGGCTGACCGTGGCCGAGTCAGCATGGTCTCCAGAGTGGAAAGATCACAGGCTTTGGACTTCTCCCAGCCTCTGCTCGCTGACATGTAAAGTGGAGGTGATCATAGCACCCAATGTAGGATATGATTGTATTTAAGAAACATGGTGTCGCAAAATGTTTGACGTGTAATGAGTGCAGAGTAAATGTCTTCTTTTCCCAGACAGCTGATCAGGAGTCTGTGTGCAAAGCCCAAGGGGCCTGGGACCCCTTTTTGGGGGGTAAAATGTTGGATATAAAGGAGAGGCAGAAGTCTTAAGCATTCTGGGATTTTTATCCCCCCACCATCCAGGAAGGAGAAGGAAAGAAACTTAGAGATTTTTAGGAAAGGTTACTCCGTGATTGACAAAACGATCTGAAGTACTTAGGAGGCATGTTTTGCCTCGGGCCAGAGCTGATTTTAAAACTAAAATGACAGCAACTAGTTCACGTTGGAACATTTGACTTAATTATAGATACCTGCAAAAGTCCCTTCAAACAGGTGGGTCTCAGCAGCGGGGGGCTCTTCCTTGGTCGAGAAGAGCGCAGAACAAAGGGCTAGGAGTCAGATTTGACAGAGAATTCTGTCTCCTCTCGATTCAGAACTTGTTTCCCATTTGTCAAGCGGACATAGTAATAACTCCCCTCAGGGGATGGCTGTGAGCGTTGAGCGAAAGTGTATTTTAAGACATCCCGCAGGGTACGTACTTCATGAATGATACCTGTAAAGGGTATTGGTTGAAATGTTTCCAGTTTTTTAGTGTCATGTAACAAAAGTGTGAGGAGAGGTAACAAGAAGTTAACATTTCACTCTACCTGTTTATTAGTACTTCTGTCCAGTTATGTCTGTTTTGAGAAAACTGATGTTTGAGGAATCCCAAGCCTTCGACTGGTTGCTACTTGTGCTTTTATGGCGGGAGAGTCAGCCTAGGTCTGTGGCCCGTAGTTCTCATGCCACCAGCGAGTCCCTGTTGGACGTCATGTTTTTGGTGCCACCGGAAAATTAGCAGAGGGACTGCTTACAAAGTTTTCACTTGAAAAAAAACCTGATAAACTCAACTGATGACAGAAGTGGTTAATCGTTGCAAGATTTGACATCTCCCGGGTTAATTTCTGTGCCCATTGATGTGCTCCTTGCCACTTTCAGAACCTGAGTCTAAGTCCTTCTCTTGCAGGAGGTTCCAGACGGTCTCCACGTTGGCCTGATAATTTCCCCATTCTGCATCTCCTAACCTCCTATTTTCCCAGGCTGCCCCTTTCCTGCTTTCCATCTGTAGACATCCTGTTGAGTACGTAGAACACCTCGTGTTATGTAATTTCCCTGCCTGCCTGTTTTTCTTGAGGCTCGTTCTACATCATGTATATATTTTGCTATCACCATGGCACCTGGACTGGTATTCGCTATTGAGGATGAGCCATCAAAAATTAGAGGTTAGCAGTTAGCAGAGGACCTGCCAGCACCGTGCGGAGGAATGAGCCAGGCAGAAGCCGATAGGTACGGGGTGTGGGTGGGGGATCTGGCATGTTTGGCTGCAGAGTAAGTGCCCCGCTAGGGGAAGGGAAGGACAGGCTGTTAGGGGCACATAGTACTGGGAACAGTAGGGGTGGGGGGCAGGGAGGCTCAAGCCCTGAAACCTCTTGTATGAGATGCAGTTAGCCAGGTGAAGCCAATTTGAAAGGGGCGCGCTGTTCCAGACACAGGTGGGAGAGCGTCTTTGTTCACAACCCAAGAGAGAGAGTTGAGTTTGATTTCAAATTGGAGGGTGAATTTGGGTAGGCAGGTGGGGGAGGTGTGCAGAGTGGGGATAAGGTCCTAAAGGACCTGGTTAGCCACGTTAAGAAATTTTAAACTTGATCTCAAGGGTGGTGGGAAATCATTGAAGAGTTTTAAGCCCGGTGAGTTCTGTAACTAGGAGTACAGACGGGGAAAGGCCCTGCAGCCTGGGGGTGGGAGGATGGCCTGAGAGCCGAGGTACCTGCAGTAGTGCCCACGGAAGGGAACCTAGCCTGGGCAGGGGCCATGGGGCCGGAGAGAGGTGGACAGCAGGGAGCTGTGGGGAGGCCAATCTCCGTGAGCTGACCCAGTGGGAGTCGGAAGAGTCCAGCGCCGTGCCCAGGCTTCTGGGAGGCCCAGCTGCTTGCTCCTCAGTGAGAGGAAGCCTAGGAGGGTGTTGGGGAGGGAGATGAGCTCAGTTTGGGGCAGATTGAGTTCTAGGCTCTGCGGGACATCAGAGGGAAGCGTCAGTGGGAACTGTGCAAGTTGTACGGGGCTCCCTGGTGCAGATGGTCACGCAGCTGGGAAGGAGGAAGATCGCCCAGTTCGGGGTGGAGGCCCAGGGTGGGAGAAGGGGGCTTAGGGCCAGCACCTGAAGAGCAGCCTGCAAAGGAACTTGAGGATGCAGGTCCAGAGGGTTCCAGGGAACAGAGTCGTGTGTTGGATCTGGTGGCAGGAGCAGTTTCCAGGGCAGGATGCCTGCTGGACCCAGAGCTGAGGGTGGTGGAGTGGTGGTGGGGGGGTGGGTGTGAGGAACGGGCCACTGTGTGTAAAGCAGTGCTTCTGCTGGCCTTCGTGGGCGTGAGAAGAAGCTGTGCCCCTGGATGTGTGGTGAGTGGACTGTGGGGGAGTGAGCCGCTCCCACAGGCCCCCTTAGCTGTTGCCCTTGTCTGGTGCAGACCGTACCCCCGCGCACGGTGTCTGACGGTCCATCAGCAGTTCTCAGTCTGGGGCAATTTTGCTCAGTCGGGGGCGGGGGTGGTATTTGGCAATCTGTGAAGGATATTTTTGGTTACAAACTGAACCAAGGGGCGTCTAGTGGGTAGAGGCCAGGGATGCTGCTGAATGCTCAGGACAGCCCCCACATCACAGACTTGTCCAGCCCCAAATGCCAGTTGTACAAAGCTTGAGAAACCTTGGTGGAGGCGAACCTTTCTGGATCTTTGCCTGAGACGAGGAAGGCGTGGGAGGGCAGGAGCTGAAGGTAGACCAGGGAGCAGGGTCCTTCTGTGCTTTGCTCCAGCCTCATTTGTGGCTGTCTCCTCTTGTCTCCTCGGCCGTGTCCCCTTTCTCATCAGGTTGTAGCTTGTCAACTGTTCGTTCTCCTGTACCGATTTCTCACACACACACCCTGGCCCACCCCAGCACCGTGACGCAGGGTACTCTTGTGTTCTCATTTCTGTTTCTGGGCACCTTGTAAGACATCTGTATTTTAATACCCTTCGGTCAGGAAAATCTGTTTTGGCACCAGAGAGACGGATGTCACTTCGGCTCATCGAGAGTAGCCCGTAATCCATTGTCAGGGTGATAGGGCTTTAACGCATGGTGCATCAAGCAACCCCTCGACCATCAGGCGTGGAGAAAGACCGGAAGTATTCCTTGTCTTTGGAAGCAAGCCTCGCTCCTGGCTTTGGGAAGGAAAGAGGACACATGGTTCTCACCAGATAGGGTTGTAGCAGCTCTCCCAGCCCTCGCGGGGACACATTAAGTCATTATGTCGGCAGTGTCCAATCTATGTTCCCGGGTCAGTTGTTGTTGAAACATTTGGGGCGGAGGAGGAGGAGGAGAGGAATGGATTAGCAGCTCCCTCTCTCGCTGTCCGTTTCCAGCCTTCTCGGATTGGAGCACGAACCAGATGCTGGCTGCTTGTCTGATGATCTGGGTTCTGCACAGTGCAGAAGGTGGCCGGCTAGGTCTTGTGAGCCCCTCTAACGTGAGGCTGGCAGCATCCTGGGTCCAGTGGACAGAAAAATGTATTGCAACATCCTGTCAGTGGGGAGACACCTGAATTCACAGAACAGCTGTGGAGAGTCCAGGGTGAGTTTGAAGAGCAAAGTGGTCTTTTCTGTTTTCAGAAATATTTTACCCGCCGCAGTGGGTGAATCTAAACCCCCTGAAAGAAATGAAAACAAGCTTAATACTAAGTTTTGGCAAAGAGTGCTCAAAACAGCCAGACGGTGTGGGCTAAGCGCAGAAAGCGGCTTCATTTTAAAATGGTGGTAATGGTAATGAGCCACTGGCCAAGTTGAATGCATGATGAGCCTTGGTTGTGGGCATGTCCTTTCTGAATTAATTGCTGGATGTAGAGCTGGATTTCAGGCCCCTTTCAATTAAATCGTCTTTCATATAATTTAAAGAGATAGGGCTGATGAGACTTCCCTTCCTGCACACTGAGTACCACAGGACAGATGACACACGCGTGGCTTTGGTGTGTCTGTTTGTAAAGTCTTAACTCTGTCTCCAACCCCACGAAATAGTAAAACACACTATAGATCTTCAGCTTCTGTGGCCAACCAGCCCGTGCTGTGAAAGGGGAAAGTGGTGGAGGGCAGGAAAAGGGGAAAAACTATTGGTCTTCTGGTTTGGCCAGATCCTCTTATGATGCGTGCTAAAAACTCTTGATGGTAATTCCTTCGGGGAAAGGATATCTTGTATGGGTAAATAACCCAGCCTTGCGTAATATCAACAGTCATTCTAAACCCTATTGCAGACCCTCAGTGGAAATGATGATTCAGGGTTTTTCTCCCTTCAGTCAACCAACAGGTAATTCTCTAGGGAAGTGTCCAAACTCCTTTGTTAGGGTTACTGTAGTTCCTAACCCAGGAAGGCTTTCTAAAGGTCTGTCCATGGTGTATGGAGGATTCCTGATTTTGTGATTGCAGCAGGCAAACTTGGTACTTCAGGCTCTTAATCTCTGGCATCATGCGTAGATGCCCTCATTTGCTTTCTAGGACTGCTTTAGCAGTAAATAGCAGGGATATTTGCTGAGAACATTTGCAAAGAGAATGCAAACAAATCTGTATTTATTTGAACAAACAGATGTGCATGACTTGTGTGGGAAAAAAATCTCATAGGTATAAGGAAATTTTTGTAAACAAAGATCCTCCCCCAACTCACCATGTATTTATATGTCTATGTTTGCATAGGAAAAAATAGAAAAGGATGTCCTAAAGTGCTAACAGTGTTTGTTTGGAATTAGACTAATTTAGTTGAAATTTTTTCTGATCAGGATCTTAAAATGTTTTGTAATGACCACGTTATATTTATGCAATAAAAATGAAGGGGGAAAATAGGTATAAATATATAAAGAGCCAGAATTTTAAAGTCTGGTTAAAGAGCTACATATTGCATGAAATTATAGATGAAATCATGTACAATTTTTTTTTCATTTTAATATCACCCGTAATTTCAAAGAAGTTTATTTTCTTTTTCCACTTACTGCACAGGAAAACAGAGGGAAAGAAAGCATATATGATGAATTTTCCACTTTTCTTCTCTGTGATTTTATTTCTTCTTCGTGCTCACTTTGATAGTTCTTCCAGGCCTCTTATTCTAGAACCTTCCAGCAGAGAGAGTGGAGTACCCCATCCAGACCCTGACTTCGTGCCGTGGGTGTGACCATGGGCCAGTTGCCTCCAGCCCCTGACTCTGCCCGAATTGCCGAGGAGTTGGTGGCAGATCAAACCTGACCGGTAGAGGAAGCTCCATGGTGTTTGAAGACAGGCTGTGTTTCGTGTTTACCAGTTTTTGCTCCCTTAGAATGAAAGACCAGGCCGTTCTTAGGAAGGACTGTTTTCCCTTCCTTTTCCTGTTGTGGCTCAGACAGCTGTCTCTGCAGACAGCCTGAGATGGGGAGCAACCTTGGGTGCAGCCAGCCCTAGGCTGCACCGTGGGGGTGTGAGAGAGAAGCCACCCCAGTCCTTCCTCGGCCCAAGCCACCTGGCTCCTTTGTTTCTTTCTCCTCCTTGGCGTGTCCGGGGTACAAGAGGCAGTGACTCCATCACATAGGAACTCCGAAGCTGGTGAATAAAGCCCCGAGCAGGTGGCTGCCTATTGTCTGTCTGGAGGAAGTGAGCGAGGTTCTTCCTGGGACGGCTTTTGTCTTTTGAGAGCTTCTAAAGGGAAAATGATCCTTAATTAGGGTTGGGGTCTTGTCCATACACAGTCCTGGGGTCAGAATATTCCCTAGGGAAGACCACCTTGGTGGGTTTAGGTCTTTGCTCTTCCACATGACTCTGAGGCCCTCTGGAGTGAGGACTTGCTTTCTCTGTGGGCATGTCTGGAATGTCAGCCGTCTCCAGACCACTGGGTTGGATGCAGAGAGTCAGAAGACAAGTTCCAAAAAAAAGAGATCAGCTTGTGGGTGGGATAAATATGCAGACTTCATCTGTGGTGAGTTCCCCCCTCAGGTCGTAATTTTTAGTACCTTTTTAGATATCAGTAATTCTAAAGAGAGGCTCTAATCTTGGGGTTTTATGAAAGCAATTAGGGTGTCCATTACAAAAACCCACTCATTCTTGAATGACATGGTGCTTGTCCGCCAATCTTCCCACATCCATGCATAAGCCTGACTGCAGGTCTTCAGCAGTATCATCCTTCGGGTCGGGCAGCAAGAACTGATAAGGCATCTTAAAACCTCACCGACCACGAGGAACCTGGACTCCTTTATCAGATTAAATTCTCTCAGGAGTGAGAGGCCCTGACCGGCAGCCTGTGAGGTTCTGCCAGCTCTCCGCTCTTGGTCTTCGGGGTTGTGGGAGGCAAGGGCTTCAGAGGAAGAAGGCCCAGCAGCCATCGTGGAGAAATCTCTGTAATCACTTTTTCTCCAGTTGCTTTTTCTTTCTTCCCCTGAGCTGCCTATCTCTGGACATGATCAGACTCCTCTCCTCCTTTTCCTGGGCTCCAGATTAATTTCCTGCCCCCTGCTTAGCAGTTTCTCCAAGATCATGTAGCTCTAGGAGGCTTTAGGTCCAGCCCTCTAGCTGCTGTATCACTGTGTCTCCTGTCTTGGCAGGAGCTGAGGGCGGGAGAGGAAGGGAAAGCTGAAGAAGAGATGGGGGGCCCGGGAGGACAGCTAACATGGAGGGCCGAAGGAGGTAGATGAAGAACGTGCCATGAAGGGAGATGGCAGTTCATGATTAATTATTAGTCCCACCTCGGGCGCCTGGGTGGCTCAGTCAGTTAAGCGTCTGCTTTCAGCTTGGGTTGTGATCTCAGGGTCCTGGAATCGAGTCCCGAGTCGGGCTCCCTGCTCAGCAGGAAGCCTGCTTCTCCCTCACTCCCTGCCCCTCCACCCCACTCGTGTTCTCTCTTGCTCTCTCTCAAATAAATAAATAAAATCTTAAAAAAAAATAATTATCAGTCCCACCTGTCTGGCTCTGGACGGTCAAAGTTAGACCAGGGAGCCTCTCTCCCTCCCTCAGACTTTTCTTGGTTGCAATACAGGTGAAAATAAGGTGGGAAGAACAAAGGCAGGCCATGGGGACAAAGGGAAAACAGACCAGTTTGCCTGTTTCCCTCTTTCATCCAGATTGAGTAGATGGGAGATAGAGTTGTTACCCATGATGCTACTTAATACCCGTTTCAGGATTCTGGGCCATTGGGTTTTATAAGAATGATTCCCAGGATTTTGAATATGAAGTTAGCTGTCTGTCTGAACTCAGAGGGCCCAAAGTTGTTTTTCAGTTTTGATTGGATTCTGCTTTTGGAAATCAGAAAGATGTTGAATGAATTTACTTTCTCATTTGACTTTCCTGTGTGTCTAAAAACCCGTCTGATCCAAAATTGTGTTTTCCTCTGAACGCTATGACATTAGATGATAACGCTCTTTCTTGAAATAATGCCTAGAGGACTGTTCATAATGCTGTCTCTCAGGGGCGCCTGGGTGGCTCAGTCGGTTAAACGTCTGCCTTCGGCTCAGGTCATGATCTCAGGGTCCTGGGATCGAGCCCCACGTCTGGCTCCCTGCTCAGCAGGGAGTCTGCTTCTCCCTCTGCCTCTGCCCCTCCCCCTGCTTGTGCTCTCTCTCTGTGAAATACAAAAATTAAAAAAAAAAAAAAAGATGTCTCATGCTGCCTGTCCCCTGGGCTCTAGACCCTGCACTTGGTGCTAGAGATACAGCAGGGAACAGACAGGATCCCAGCCTGCATGGAGCTTGTAGTCTGGTTGTGTAGATTGACATTCAGTGGACGGTTACACAAGAGCAATGCAGTTATAATTGTGACAGGAGTTAAAGCAAGTAAAAGGAGTGTGCAACGGGAAGATCTAATCTAGCATTGGCCAGGACAGCTTTCCCTAAAAGTGACTTGAGACCAGAGGGCTAATAGAGTGGGCTGGGTGCAGGCTGGCAGTTGGATGCTCTGGGTGGGGGATGGGGGATGAGGTGGGAGGGAACAGTGCTGGAACAGCATGTGCAAAGGCCCTGAGGTAGGAAGGGTCTTCAGCCTGCTTGGGAACAGATTAGGATGCTGTGACTGGTGTAGAATGGACAGGATGAGGGCCAAGTAGAAGGCCCGTTAGCTGGTGAAACTGCTAGGCCAGGACGCAAACCCAAATCTGTATGAAGACTAAAGGCATCATCTCCTGAGCATTTGTTAAACAATATTCAGGAATGATATTGACGTCAACGCACAGCTTATTTAAAAGATTCTTAAGTGAAAGCTTTCTTTCCTTATGGCTTATTGATCTTTTAATTATAATGTAAAATGTGTTTTAATACTAAGTTATCGGCTGCAGAAAACAAGGGGAAGGACTCATCTGAATCAACCAGCAGAAACTTGGAATCATGCCTGCTGCCTACTTCAGCCTTGCCAAGATGTAATTTCTTTAATTCATCCAATCGCATTCTTGACTAACCTGCTCAAGTCCGTACTGCGCCTTGGCTTTCCCCCCATAACAGCTTAGGGATCTCTAAAGAAAATATTTTGAAATGTTCTCTCTTGATCGGGGTGTTTGTGGTTAGATGCTGTATGCACTGATTTTGGTGCAGAATGAACTGTTTTTCTTACCATGTGAGTCTTTGTT